TCCTCCTCCTCCCCCGGTTCGAGACGGCGGGGGGGGGGGGCGCCGATTTCGATGGCGCCCGACAGCAGCAGCATGGAGCCGTGCGGGCTCTGCGCGCCCGCTCCGCCCGGGGGCGCCGCCTGCCGAGGTGGGAGCGCGCGGCGGCGAGGAGGCAGGGGAGGAGGAGGAGGAGGAGGAGGAGGAGGAGGAGGAGGAGGAGGGGGAGGAGGAGGGGGACGAGGACGGGGACGAGGAGGAGGTGGAGGAGGGGGAGGAGGAGGAGGAGGAGGGGGAGGGGGAGAAAGAGGAGGGCGAGGAGGCAGGGGAGGAGGAGAGGTGGAGGAGGGGGAGGAGGAGGGGGGACGAGGAGGAGGAGGAGGAGGAGGAGGAGGAGGAGGAGGAGGAGGAGGAGGGAGGAGGGGAGAGGAGGAGGAGGAGGAGGAGGAGGAGGAGGAGGAGGAGGAGGAGGAGGAGGAGGGGGAGTGGGAGGGGGAGAAAGAGGAGTTGGCCTGTTGCCAAAGGGGTTGGCCTGCCGCCAGAGGGGCAGATCCGGGAGGAGGGGGGGCAGAAAGGGAGGGGACGAGGCAGCTAGGTGCGATCGCGTCATATCTGACGTCCTATCCCTCCCTCCCATCATGGCGTAGATGTCATCTCTAGTCGCACCGTTGGCTGCCGAGCAGGGCAATGATCGCGAGAAAGTACGCGATGCATGGTAGAGCACGACATGGCATGGCATAGACGAGCACGGTATAGCGTAGCATGCCATAGCATGGCGTAGCGTTGAGCAGTGAAGCATTGCAGCACAAAGCATTGCAACGCAGAGCATGGCATCGCACAGCGGCGCAGAGGGCTTTGCTGGTAGTCCGGGCAGGGAGAATAAGCCCGTGCTCGGACCGGCGGATCGACCCAGGGCACGCTGGCCAGAGAGGGGAGGGGAGAGGAGGGAGGGCGGGAAGGACAAGCTGAGTGCGCTGGCGGCAGATCTGACATCCGACACCTCCCACGTATCCCTTCACATTGATATGTTCTCTTCCTGCCAACACGGGTCATGGGGGGCCTGGAATTTCAAAACGGACCCCATCGTGTTGTGCGCAAGTGGAAACGGGGAGCTGCATGTATTTGAGAAGGAGAGGGTGGTTGATGAGCAGGAGCTAGATGAGGACGAGGAAAGAGGATCAGGAAGGAGAAGGACGAACAGAAACAGCAGGAGTTGGAGTGGCAGGAGCGGGACAAGCAGGAGGACCAAGGAAAGGTCGAGGAGGGGAAAGGAGGGGGCGGCAACGATGAGCAAGGACTCCGACCCAGAACAGTGGCCAACGCTGGGGCGAGAGCGCCATTGTGAACGACGGGAGCAAAGCGCCGATCCTAAACTGAGGCTCGCGCTGCAGCGGGAGCGACATGGCACTGCTTTGGAAGGACCGAGATAGCTCGGATTGCAAATACACATACGATGAAAGAAAGTGAGCAATCCTGTGTTTAGAAACGCCTCCCAGCGTGGACCACAAGTAGTGAGATACTGCACGGTGGATGTGTAAATCTACAACTAAATTGCACTCGTCGACCCCTTTCCCCTTTCCGGCGAAACTATGTCGCCTCTGGCCCCCTGGAAGTGATGGCCACCCTGGATGCCTCGTGCGGGATCCAACCAAGATCCTGACAGGGTCATAACAAGACCCTAATGAGAGTCCAGTGAGAGTCACAGACAACTGTAGCATGAAACCAGTATGAGCATAATCGGATTCCAATCGGATTCCTCGCCATCGCTCGGACGTCCATTCTCTGTGTTTTTTTTGGTTTTGTGCGTGTTTTTTCGGCAAATGATCAAGAATGCTCCTCGATGGTCCTCGCCGAGGAAAAAACGCACACGTCCGAGCGATGCCAGGATTCAGACAGGGTGCAACAAGGATACCACGAGAATCGGATCTCCGTTGGACTCCACCATGGGACCCGCCCGTAGGAGTCCACCATGGAGGCCCCCATCGGATTCTCCCCATAGGGGCTCTTCCATAGGACTCCCCCCTCCAAAACCAGGCCTCCCTCACAGGGCCGCCCTACACTCCTTAGTTGATTGGAACTCCCCTATAGGACCTCCCCAGCGGGGCGCCCCCCCGTAGGACCCCCCGTCTCTGACTCCCACGCCCCCTCCGCGGAATTGTTGAATGAATTAATTTGTCGGAGTGCTGAACGATATCGTTCATGATCGATAAGTGGGTATTGGGGTACGTAGTGCGACCTAGGAGGTTGCATCAATTAGGAGGAATCCGAAACTGCAAACTCCACACCTCGAACAATCATCCCCCCCTCCCACCCGCAGCTGGTTCGGCAAAACCCCTCCGGCCAAGACTGCGGCTGAAGCTTGTCACCGCCTGTCGCACCTCCGCGGCCGAGCTGGCGCGCGCAAGCTCGCGCGCAGAGCGCCCGGCTGGTTTGGCACAACTGCTGCGGTCGCGATGGCGCTTGGCGACGGAAACTTCCCAGCGCGCCACAGTCGGCTACACGCAGGAGTGACCCTGGGTAAGAAGACCTTTGGTGCGCGGCTTTTTGCGGGCCGCGGGGGGGCCAACCTGGGCGCACAAGCCGCTGCTCCTGCTTCGTTTTCAGCCATGTGGGGACCCATTTGTGCCCGCACCAACGGTCACTCCGGCGAAAGGTCACTCTTACGTCTAGTCGACACAAGGGCCGCGCTGGCGCTCGAGGACTTCAGTGCGGGTCGGCGAGTCGGGCGGGCGTGGCACCAGGAGGACGTCGACATCGGAGGCCACGATGGTGATCGTAGCGGTGGTGTTGGCGGCGATGGATGACGACGGCACGGCCGATGACGGCGCCAATGCTGGCAACGACGATGGCGATGGTGATGATGTCCAAGTGTCGGTGATGAAGGTGATTGACTGATGATGGCGGCAATGGCGGCGATTGACGAGGACGATAACGGCAGTGATGCGATGGCGTCGATGTGGGTGATGGTGAGGAAGCGCGCTCGCTAAAATGCAAGACATTTGGCTCACTTGTTGCTGGAAACACGTGGTTCGTGAGCGTATTCTCATTCGGCGTTTCGACATTGGGCGCGAGGGGAAGGGGAGAGGGGGGGGTCTGGCTCCGGACCTCTGCTTTGTGCGACTGTTTGCACTAGTGCGTCATATGGGAGAGCCTCCGCCTGCTCGAAACAGGCGCCCCAAACTGTCAAGATCTACTCCATGGGGGGGGGGAGGGGGGGGGGTGCGACGGCCCGCGCCGATCGGCAGAACAACGAATAAGAAAACGATCACAAGCACTTGGTTCTTTCAGGAGAGACAAAAGCACCACCCACAACTAAGGGGGTGGCCGCTCCCTCCCCTCGAGCTGGCGGCACCTCCTTCCGGGAACTCTCTGGAGGCATGCCCAGGACGAGATGCCACCAGCTCGTGAGGGTTGGACAGCCACCCCCCTAGCTGGTGGTATTGAGCAGGGACCGACCGTCCCGGCATTTCTACAGTCCTATCACGAAACGTTCTTAATAACAAATCCATGTTCTTAGAACTTAAGCCTTACGTGTTAAAACAAGGTAGTCCCAGCCATACATATGTTCTAAGAACATTTCGTGGAAACCACAGAACGTTCTTAGAACATTGTTTGGTAAGGCTATAAGCGAGCCAAGGCGCTTCGTCACTGCTTGATGGTAGTGGTGCTGTTGTCCCTGGTGAGCTCCTCTCACGTGCCTGAAGAGCTCTCCCTCGAGGGGCGCCAAAGCCCAAACTGGCTCCGAAAGGATGGCGGCCGACAGTCGGGCTGCTGAAATGAGGAACGCTAAATAAGGAACGAAGCCCCTCTGTGCGCGTGCATGCGTGCGCGGCGGCGCGCGCGCGTGGCCCGCGGGGCGCAACACTTCGTGCGGAGTCGTGCGCGGGGCGCCTGCGGGCTCAGCGCGGATGCGCCGCGCGGTGGCGCGGCAGCAATGGGCAGTTGCTCCCACCAGCCCTTTTGGGCGGCAGGTGGTACAGAAGGAGGGCTCGTTCCCTCTTCCACAGCCCCTCTTCCCTTCGGGGAGGGAAGCCCTCCCCCTCCCCTCCCGGTGATTTCTGTTGGAGGGATCGCGAGGCGTCGGAGGCCCCCTTTTCGGCCATCGGGAGGGCCATTGTTTGCCACCCCATCACGAGGATCGTGGCCCCCGAGGGGGGGACCTAAATCGAGTCCCCCCCCTCCTTTTGACCGACCGCCTCCAAGATGGCCCCAAGAGGCCCTCCAGGGCTCCCCAGAGGCCCCCAAGATGGTTCCACTAGCGCCCCAAGAGGCTCCAAGAGGGCTGCAAGAGGCCCCCGAGAGGCCTCCGAGAGGCCGCGAGCGGTCTCAGAGAGTCCAAGATGACCTCCAAGATGGCTCACGATAGCCCAAGCTGGCTCAAGATAGCTCCAAAAATGCCGCAAGCGGCCACAAGACCGTTCCAAGACGGCTCGAGTTGGCCACGAAGCCTTCCAAGCCTCCCTCGCTGCTTGACTATGCGTGTCTCTTCCTCTCTCCCCCCGTCAACTCTCATGGGTATCGCTTCTGGATGGAATGGTGGGGATACTTTTTGTTGGTCGCGGCCACGAGACAAGGGTCAGGCGGCAAAGGCAAAATGGTGGGGATACGCGAATCGTCAAGAATTAGGAGGCAACTACTGGGAGATCTTCGTCGGACGGATTAAGAAGGATTAAGACCCAATGGGGGGCTGTTACGCCGGAGTGGGCCGCGGATTAGGCGGGATGAAGCCGGATTAAGCCAGATTTCGGACCAGAGCAAAATCAGAATTTGAGCTCCCAGGAGTTGCATCCGAAAATTAGTGGACACTCCCCCGCTCCCCCAAACTAAAGTTGGCGCGCGCCGGGAAGGGTGCGGTCGACATGCAGCTCACTCAACCCACCGCCAACATTGATCACTGGGGGGGGAGCAGGGACCGGTGGCGCCCCTGGACACCCTCGGCAGCGGGCCTGCCCGCTGGCCATGGCGTCGCGGAGGGCGGCCTGGCTCTGCTGCAGGACGGACGGGTGGGAGAACCAGGGCGCGTCCTCGGGTCGGGGGGGGGGGCCAGAGGGCAGGGCAGCAAGCGTGGACCCCAAAAACAAGCGACACCACCCCACCTGCGGCCCCCCCACGGGCCGCAGCGTGCACCTGCACCGCTGGCGTGGGCCCTCTGCATGGTATACGCCACGGCCCCCCATGGGCCGTGGCGCAGCATGGAGGTCCGTAGAGGTGGGGTGGTGTCGTTTGTCTGGTGGCCGAAAAAAATGAAAAAGTGGAGAATCAGCGCACGCAGCTGGCTTTCCCGGCGCCGCCCGGCGCCGGGCAGCGCCCGCGCGTCGAGGAGCGGCGCCGGGCGGCGGGGCGGAAACCAGCGGCACGCCGCAGGTTGCGCAGCTCCCCCTGCCCCAGTCCTGCCAGGCCCGTCCGGCCCGATCGGGGGCCGTGAGTAAGACGGGGCCGGGACGAGGACAGATTCGGGTGAGGGTAAATCGAGAATCTCTGAGATTCGGCGGCTCCGGAGGATGTATCGGGCGCCGCGGCCTTCGCAAGCGCTTCAGAAACGCTCTGGGAGCGTTCTGGAACCTCTCTGGAACAGATTGATCCTCGTCCTAACCCCGTCCGACAGAAGCCGTGAGGGGTAACGCTGGGGGAGGGACTGGCAGGGGGACTGGCACGGGGGGGGGGGGGGGGGAAACATCGGCCCAGTCGGCGATGCATCGCCGATAGATCGGCGACAGGCTCCCGGGGGCGAAACCGAGCGTTAGTGGGCGGGGGTGGCCGTCGGGCCTCTTTGGGCGATCCATAAGCGATTGGGGGTCGATGCGCCCCCCCGTGCACCTACAGTCGGGCTGCTGAAAGAAGGAACGATGAACAAGGAACGAAGCTTTTTTGGGGCCCCACAAACGCCTGCGTGCACGAGGAAGGCTGGAGGAAAAAAAACCATAGAAGCACCTAACGAATATCGAGCCCCTCTCTTACCCAAACGGTTCCTTATTTCAGCGACTTGGCTGCATCCCCACCCACATTCGGGGATGGACAGACCCCTCTTTAGCAAAACGTGGTTTAGTGAAAACGACCTGAGGCCCAAACCTGGCGGGCGCAAGCCTGGAAAATGACGGCCACGGCGCCGTCTCGAGAACCGAAAACGGACAATTCACTCATCGACGTGTCACTGTTGGGGGTTCTGCCCAGCCCCCCCACATCGTTGACCCTGGGCGAGAGGCCGGGCAACGCTCGTCGGCGCGCCGAGGGGGCATAGAGGAGACGGGCCAGGCCCTCGCAGAAGGCGGCGGGGCGCCTCGGAAGCTGCGCGCTCAAAGTCAGAGCCATAGTTCAATCATTTTTGTGTGAGTGTGCGGTTGTTGTGCTTGTTGTGTTTTTTAAACGTTCCGTCCGGTATTGTTTTGTGTGCGTGTTTTTGTGTGTTGTGATATGTTGATTTGTGTTATTGTGTGTTTTTATATATATATATATATATATATATATATATATATATATATCTATATATATGCTTTTCGTGGGAGGGATCTGCCGCGGTCGATCGCCCGGGGGGGGTTTGACTGCCGCCCCGGCGCGGGTCGCCCCCGCCAAAGTTCCCTCAGAAGGGGGAGCTTAGGCGGGGGCTTCTCCCGAAGGCGCCCCCGCTCGCATGGGATGGTGCGAGGGGTCCTGGATCGCCCGGGGAGGTTCCAGGACGGGCCGACTCGCCCGGGGGGGGGGTCGGTCCGAGCGGTGGAGTCGCCCGGGGGGGTCTCCGCCGCTCAGTCCCTGCACGAGTCGCCCGGGGTGGGAATAAGAACTGCTTTTGGACTTTGTAGCCGTCCTTTCCGTACCCATATTGGTCGTACCAAACCTCAGACGCCCAACTGGATCCAGTATCTTGGAATACCATGTTTTTACCTGCCCTGGAGCAGGAACGTCCCAGTAGACGGATCTACCCTCCCTCCGACCTTATACAGAGCCGAACACAACTGCTTTGTAGTCTATATACGCATCCACACCGAATGCATCTATGTGCGCCACGACACCCAATGCGACACTGTGTCTCTAGACGCTGGTGGCTAGAACGCGAGGGCGGTATTTGTATAGGCCCCAGACGTGTGACTTCCAGGCGTAGACTTTGCCCTCCAAGTGAGGATGCGAGAAACCCTACTGGCCATCGCTCGGACGTCCACTCCCTGTGTTTTTTCCGGTCTAGTGCGTGGATTTTTTGCCAAATGATCAAGGATGCTCCTCGATGCTCCCCGCCGAAGGAAACATGCACACGTCCGAGCGATGCCAAGCCTAAATGCAAACACTGTTTGGGCAGACGCCTCCCCGAACCCAGCGCCCCGTGCCTCCCTCCTTCCTTTAGAGGCCTCCCAGATTATGTCCGAGTAGATGTGCTCGGAAGATCGCGCCGCATCGCCAATACATCGGCGATGCACCGGCGATGCATCGGCGACGCATCGGCGACGTCGTCGACGCATCGGAGATGCATCGGCGACGTCGGCGTGAAGCAAATCGGGCTCCGCATCGCGCCGCATCGGCGATGCATCGGCGATGTGGCGCGATCCTCCGACCCCATCTGCTCCGACCCCATCTATGGGAGGCCTAGATCCTCGGCTCGACGGAACCCGTGCAAGGCCACCTCAGAAACCCCCGGCCTGCTCCCCGCGTGCCCGCCACAGACGAGCGCGTTCCACTACTCGCAGAATCCCTACTCGCAAATTGCTTGGATCCGCCGCGAGGAACCTACGGTACATGACATCAAACCAGATACAGTCGGGGCGTTGACCTAAGGAACCCTAAATAAGGAACGAGGCCCCTTTTTCCCATAAGCTCAACCTCGATTTCCCATGGGAAACCTCAGGAACACCCGAGGTAAACTTTGAAACAAACAAGGAACACCGAGCCCCTCCCCAACGAAAAGGGTCCCTTCTTCAGCGCCCCGACTGCATGCGCCTTGTCGGACGTTTGCAGGTCGGCGCTCTGCGAGCAGTGGAGCGCGCTCGGTGACGCCCGCCGCCGCGCGCGGGCGGAGCTCCCCGAAGAACACGCCCTGACCGGGCGCGCCGGGCCCCGCGGCGCTGGCGGCGCTCGGCGCGGCCGACGGGGCGGCGCCGGACGGGCGCCGGCCGGCAGGCGCCGCGGCGGCCTCGGCGGTGCGCCCGCGCGGCCCGCGCGGAGTGGGGCCGGAGACCTGGCCATCGCTCGGACGTCCACTCCCTGTGTTTTTGCTAGGTTTTGTGCGTGGTTTTTTCGCCGAATGATCAAGGATGCTCCTCGATGGTCCCCGCCGAGGAAAAATGCACACGTCCGAGCGATGCCAAGAGACTCTTGGGAGGAGGAAGAGGAAGCTGCAGGCGGCGTAAGCGTAATCTCCTCTCGGGGCTCCGTGCGGATGTCTTATGCAGCGGTGCTGGGCCCCCCCCTCCCTGGCGCGCGGAACGCGCCCGAGGCGGCGCCCGAGACACCGCCGGGGGCTTCCAGTGCCGATCCCAAGACCGTCGAAAGTGTATGCTGGAGATTTTCTTCTTCGATGGACGTGTTGGGCAACGATGGAGGGGGACTGGCTCAGGGAGGGAGCATCCACCTAGAATCGGCGATATGTCGACGACACATATATATATATATATATATATATATATATATACATATGTACACATAGATGTACATATATACATATATATCTATACACATATGGGCGACATAGCGAATCCGCACGTTCCTGGGCGGGGTGGGGCTATCAGACCCCCTATCGACAACCAGTGTGGAGGAGCAAAGACCACACAGCCATAAACTTTGAGAGGCCCGCGCGGATCGGGCCGGGCGAGAGGGGGGGATAGCAAAGGGGGGGTTTGAGAATCAGCTCACGTAGCTGATTTTCCCGGCGCCTCCCGGCACCAGAGGCGGCCATGTACCGAGGAATGGGCCCCTCGGTAGGGCCCAAACCAGCTGCATGCAGCAGATTTCGTACCCCCCGCTTTCCCTATCGCCCCCTTTCGTCCAGCCTGAGCGGAGCGCCAACAGTTGAGGTGTATGGCGTGTTTCCTTCTTCGACCACAGGGGGCGCCTGGGGGCCGATGCGTTCCCCCTTAGCCTGCCCATCCCCCTATCGTTGCCCCTGGGGAAGAGGCGGGTCCTGAAGTTAGGGAGAACCAACAAAAAACGATACCGCTACTCCCCGACCTCTCCTGGGGGGCGTTCTGACCAGGATTTCGAGGCGCGTCCAGCGGTGGCGACGAGGACCTCCCAGGAGGCCCCGAAAAGGGGAAAACGAGGGAAGTGTAGAGGTATGGGTACCTTATTCCAGGGCTGAACCGAAACGGTGTTTTTCGTTTTCGTTTTGTTTCGTTTTCCCTCGCTTTTGTCTTGAATCGGCCTTTACGTCAAAACGGAGTCGAAACGAAAACGGCCCACAAAATCGCCCAAAACACCGTTTAGGTCCAGCCCTGCCTTATTCCCTTCTCTGAATAGTTTGTCTCCGCTCTCGGCAGGCCTCATCCCGCCGGCCCTGCCATTCCGCCAGCGCGCTCACCGCCGTCTGCCTGCTGCTCGCATCCTGCCCGCCTCTCCGCCCCCCCCAACATCGGGGAGACGTAAGACTCGGGTGCGGGGGACTCGGGTTGGCCTCACGGGGCCATCATAAAAACGACGAGACCCAATCTGAAATCTGGCGCGAGCTCCCGCTGCAAACGTCCCACGAACACTGGACCGTCAAAATCCAGGACACGCTCGTCAACAAACGTTGGCAAACCCGAGTTCCGGCTTACTCGAGTCTTACGTTTCCCCGAAACAGCACGAGCACCGCTGGGGAGCAGGGTGGTGCCGGCAGATCCTGCATCGCTGCTCCTCCGTGCCACAGCGTGCACCACGGGACTCCCAGCCCAGCCGACGTCGTGAGCTTTCGGCACGGGGTCCCCAGAAGTCCCGACCCAGGGCCTGCTTCTCATCCTGAGTAGTGTTTTTTGACGGCCCCAGGGCCAGGTAAGGGCCCCCCGAGGCCGAACATGGTCGAACTCTTCCCATGGCGATGCTAACACTACTCGACATGCAACCAAGG